CCGGTAAAAATAAAAAATTAACATTGTTAGGAAGGGATCTTTTTTGGGTGTTAATATTCAAAAATGTTTATTACCTTTATATTAAACGATTTAATAAAAAATCTCGATAGCCATTTTTGTTTTTTTAATTTTATTAGAATTTTTATTATTTTTATAAATAAATATTGTAATATAGATGGCGTTATATTTTTACAAAATAATATATAATTTTTAATAATAATATGAATAGTATTGTGATTAAAATTAAAAAATCTATTGATTATAACCAAGAATGATGTCCTGGGGCGATATGTATGCAGGCAGCCCATACAGATATTATTTTATTGATGCTATATTATAAAATAAACATATTTTAAAATTTTATATTCTAACTATTATAATTTTGAGCTTATTACTAGAAATTCCTAAGGCCATAATTTGTAGATATATCTTTTCATTGTTTTGGATCTACTATCGTTATTATTTGAAAATAGCGATTTTATCAGTTTATTTTATTTTTTTATTCCTATCATCGCTACAATCAATCATCATATATTTCAAAACTTAAACATTTTTTACAACCAAATGAATTTATGATAATTTGTGATTTCTCTGAAAATTGTGCTTTTATAATCCAAGACACTGTCAAGGATTCCACTGGAATAATAATCAAGCCACTATCCATCCTATGATAGCATATTATAATAATAAGGGCAATATAGAAAACCTAATTATATGGTAATATCAGTCACTTTAACATAATGTTATTGCAGTACATTTATCAGAGACCTGCAGACCCGGCCCTAAGCCCGGCCCGGGTACCAGGGCCGGGCCGTATTTTAAAATATACCCGGGCCGGGCCGTATTTTTTTAAAAAATTTATACAACATGAATTATTATATTCGTCAATTAGATATGGTTATAATGATTATATTTAGTTATGATTAATATAATGTTTGGTGAAAGTTAACACTAGCTAACACTCATAGTATCTATTACATAATAAAATTATAGTTTCCTGCCATGGAATAAATACGCAAAGGATTAAATACATTATTATATAATATATAATATATTTTTTATTAATTAAAATATCATTTTTATTTTTTTTATAAATACATAGTATATTCTCAAAATATTATTTACACAAAATTTTTATAGTATCAATTTGTAATATACTATATATCTGTTTAGAATATTAAAAAAAATATTAGTATTGTTAAACGGCTCGTTTTGAGCCGATTTTTAAAAACGGCTAACTCAGTGTTTTATCCAGAAAAATATTATGCAAGCCTGAAAATTTTGCTCATAAAAGGAGCAAAGGTCTAGACATATAGTATCGAAATTTCAAGGCTTAGTCAATATTTTTCTGGCGAAAATATTGAGTTAGCCGTTTTTAAAAATCGGCTCAAAACGAGCGTTTAACAACATCAGCTAATATTGCTTATTAAATGATAATACTCGCCGAAAAAAATGATAAAATACGAAATAATAAATTTTTTGTATATACCAGGTCGAATATAATTTTAAAAAATCCGGGCCGGGCCGAAAATTTTTTAATCTGGGCCGGGCCGAGCCGTACAAATGGTACCTCTGCAGGTCTCTAAAATGATAAAATTTTTGACCAATCAATTCAGCAAAAAGCCAAACAAATATATTACTGCTCTGACGGATCAGCTGCGCAATATAAAAACAGGAATTTTTTTAGAAATCTGTTATCATGAATCAGATTTTGGTGTATCAGCTGAATGGCATTTTTCAGTTATATCCCATGGAAAAGGTCCATGTGACGGCCTTGGTGGAACATTAAAAAGATTAGCAGCGCGTTCAAGCCTTCAGCGCATCAGTTCTGGACACATTTTAACACCAGTTGATTTATATCAATTCGCAAAACAAAACATGCCATCACTAAATTTTACATATATAACCAGCGAACAATACAATTTACAAGAGATTAAACTACGTCAATTTAGCTCGTCCCATTCCAACTCGGGAAATATATGCTGTATTTCTTTTGAGTTTAAGTAAACTTACAACAAAAATATATTCATATGCAGAGGACTTTCAAATTAACAATATCTCAAATGCCGATAATTTGTGATTTGACGATATTAAAGGATTCGTAACATATGTTTATGACGATTTTTGGTGGTTAGCCACAATACTAAAAAATAATGAAATTACTGAGGAGATATATATTTCCTTTTTACATCCCCATGGACCCTCACCATCCTTCTTTTACCCCACAATTGAGGAAAAGATATGGTTACCCATTAATCAAATAATAACAGTAGTAGATCCTATTGCAGTAACAGGACGTACCTACAAATTATCGTCACAAAAATATCTATTTATTAGCATAAAATGGGATAATATTAAAACAAGAGGTATTCTTTTTTTATTGTTTGTGTATAAAATTTTAAAATATGTTTATTTTACAATATAGCGTCCTAATAAAATCATATCTATATATCTGCCTGCCTACATATCGCCCCAGGACATCATTCTTGGTTATACTCAATTGATTTTTTAATTTAATCACAATACTATTCATATTTTTTATTAAAAATTATATATTAAAAAAAATAATATAACGCCATCTATATTACATTTTTTATTTATAAAAATAATAAAAATTCAAATAAAATTAAAAAAACAAAAATGGCTATCGAGATTTTTTATTAAATCGCTTAATATAAAGGTAATAACATTTTTAGTGAATATTAACATCCAAAAAAATCCCTTCCTAACAATGTTAATTTTTTATTTTTACAAATATTTTCCAACGTAAAATTTTAAGGGCTATAAAATGATATATAATTTGTAACTCTATCTTAAGTATTTTTTAAAATAACAAGATTTAATGAAATTACGCACTTCGCGATTTTCGACTTTGAAGGCGTATATCTTTGGATCTGGTTGAGCTAGCACTCTAAAATTTGATTTTATTAACATTTACAACATAAATAACTAATATCATTTTTGAGATGGTCGGCCGAATCGTTGGTCGATTTGTCATGGAATTACCCAAGATAAGAACCTGGAGAAAGGCCTAAGATGATGTGGTTAAATTTATTTTTTTAAATAGTGCGCTATTAGTTAGGCTACTAAAAAAGTAGCGCGCTATTAATAACTTCATTTATTTATTTTCATAAAAGTTTTTGATTTGGGATTTTTTCCAAGTTTTGAGCGTAGCCTAAACTAGAATAGGGATTAATATTTTTGTACTAAATGCAAATATTCTTAGTATCAAAATATTGAATGCCAATAATAAAGCCAGATGGAAATAATTATAAAGAGTATCTCTCGAATTTAAAAATTTATAAGAAGAATTTATTATAATACCAAATAAATAATTTCAGAATTCATAGTATATATAAAATCATTTTTAATAATTAAATAAAGTAATTAAAACTTTTATGCAAAATATGGTAAAGTGAGGATAATAAAGTGTTTTTTGAAAAAAAATGACAAATTTTAAAAACTTTTATGAAAACAAATAAGAGTCGTTAAAGTAGCGCGCACTTTTTAAAAAAAATAGCGATCGGTAGCGTGCTCTTTTAGAGTAGTTTAAAATTTATATAATAAATATATATATATATTATTTTAAAAAAAAATTATTAATAATTTAATTGAAATTTATATTTCAAAAAATGCTTTACAAATCTAGTTTATCAAGTTATTTAAAATACAATATGCCGCCAATGATAATTTTGAGACAGATGATAACCACAAATTTTCATAAAAAATGACATTATGGAATTACCTTTCCCTATGCATAAAATAGTGAAGGACATTTAGAATAGCTTCAAAATTGAAAGTCTTTAAAATTAGATTTATCAGCCGCTTCTTAGCCTTACATCTACGCATCTATAGATTATTGGGACAAGAAGGTGAAATAAAGCATTTATAATTTGATTTTTTATTAACTTAATAGAAAGGAGCAGCCAAATAAGCTATTGGTAACGTTGATTAATTTAATACCCAAAGAAGATACACTACCTAATAAATCATCGAAGAATTTAAATCTAGAATACTCAAATGAACATTTTTGTTAGTTTTTCTTATATAAAAAGTTTAGAAAATTAAATATCACATTACCCTCAAGTACTACAACAATTATTTAGTAGGACAAAAACTTATACTTTCTGTTCCCCACTCTAGATTTGCGCAATGATTTTATTATTAATATGCAATAAAATAAATAATGCATACATTTTACATTTTAGTACCTTTTTTTGCCAAATAGCGTTATCAGCAGCGCGCTACTATCAAAAGTAGCTTTTAACAACACTGATTAAATTACTTATTTTTTTCTATTAAGACAAAAACATGTTCAAAACATTTATTCCCGGATTTTCTATGTTAAATTTTTGAAATTTTTCAAACAAAAGTAAGTTTTCATTAAGTTTTAATTTCTCATAAACAATTCATAAATTTAATTGAAAAATAGATGTTAATATGATAAAATAAATGTATATAATAATTCTATTAATAACTTTTCTCTAGCTTAATTTTCTCCATAGCAAAATTTTTATGTTTAGTTAAATTAGATGAAATTCAAAAAATCATTATTTCATGATTTAATCAAATAAATCGATTTTTTAATTTTTATTTAAAAATAAATATTTTGCTAACCCTAGCAAACCAGAAAATAAATTAATCTTATATGAGGCCTAAACCAATTGACTCGACCAGTTCCAAAAGTCATCCGACATATTACGGGATCGGGATTTGTAGGTTAAAAAATATACTTCTATTAAATATTGTTCTAGGTATATTAGACACTGATAGGATCATTATTTTAGGATCTAATAGCATCTTTAGACAAAAAATTGATCTTTTAAGCATGACCTATCCCAATTATAATCTATAAATTAACAAATAAAATTGTTGGTTTTATAATATCTGACATTCAAGAATTTTCTAGAAAACGTTGCTAAAGGTGGAATGGAAACGTTATGGAATAATTATTTGACAAAATTCTATTTTCCAGAAAAAAAAGTTAAAAAAATATAAACCATCTTTGATGGCGGATAGTGCCGTAAAACTAAACTCTTCGGGAGATACCCTGTAAGTTCCTATGTAACTACTTTTAACAGCGTCCCATATTATATTTGTCAATTCTTTGTTGCTAACTAATTCAGATGCAGATATGTCTAATGATGCTATCGCGTTAATGTCAGAGCTAGGCCTTTTTTTTTAAAAAAAAAATTAAATAATGAGGATTAAAAGGTATTTAAAAAAAAAATTGATTAGATACATTCGCGAATCTTGATTTATAAAATACTGAGATATTTATGAGCATCTTATTACCACCGAATATGATAATGGTTTACTAAATTTATTTATCATTTCTGGTTTATGTTTTAAAAAACATTTAACATAAAATCATAATGGATTCTTGTTCCGGTTTCTAAAATTTTAAGACTCATGTTGGGTTCTGGTTTAACTTTTTAGATTTGTCCCGGTTCCGAGAGTTCTAGTTCCAAGCTCTGAGTTTGCATGCCCCGGAGGCCCCGGTCTAGCCCGAATTTTTTTAAAATATATAAATATATTACATTTATTTCTAATTTTTATAGCTAATAATTGCGATTTAAAATATTCAGTTAAAAATAAGAATTTTAGACTTGGGCCCGGGTATATTTAAAAAAATTAAAATACAGCCCTGCAGGTCTCTGATATTTATTTATAATGAATGGAAAAAAGAAACCTTATCTGAACTACTGATATTTTCAGCTCATTTTGCCAATCGCTAGGGAACAGTTTGAGGAATTGTTGGGTTAAACCTTTGGAAAGTTCTTTGAAATTCGTGTTCTCCCTGTCCGAATAACTTCTATCGTATGTGACATCGATCAATTTTATACGGCACCTGTATATTACTATTTTTTAAAACAAAAATAGAAAAAGAAATAAAATATTCATATAAATGAGATAGTATTATTTTCACCCGTTTATTAGTCCCAAAAAGATGTATCAAAAAGCATGACCTACGACGTAATCCTATAACTTGAATTGGTTAGTCTATATAGTTATATAGGATATTTTAATTGGAAGGTAAATTTTATGAAAACGATAAGTGAAGATGTATTCATAATTATTTAACAATGGGTATTCTAACTCCAAAGAGGGGGGATAAATAAAAGAAGTTGATAACTTCTTTTATTCAATTAAATTAACATCATAGGCTTTATACTTAAATCCTCACCCCTAGCCGGATTTTGAAAAAAACCCAATAAAGTTTGTGAATCTGAAAAATATTGACTAATCTCTCAAAAGTTAACAGAGTAATCAAAACTTTAGATGTCAAAAAAATATATATGATTATTTAAAAAAAAATGATGTCGATTTTTCAAGCAAAAAAAAATAATACGTAGCACCACACATAAGATCATAAAAAAGGATTATATTTTAATAATTAATCCTTAACGTTTTCACAATTTTTTAATATATTAAATGTATATTTAGAGAAATTTTTAGCATCCACTAAATTGGTATTTAGATTGAAGATATTGTTAATTGACACAAATGACCAATGGCCGAACTTAATCCTTAGTGAAAATATTACATTAATATTCTCAAACATCAATGACTTATAATATTTCCAAATGACCAGTCCATCTCTTGTATAAAAGTCTCTTAAGTGTATGGCTCAGCATCTAATGGTATTCAGTGAATGCAACCCTCCTCAAAAATCTATACCTACCCACCTAAAATTTTTTAGGCATCTTCGGCAGCGATATTTTCACATTATTAATTACACCTTTATAATTATAATGGTACTCCTTTCATAAATTTTAAAAAGAATAACTCAAATTATTAATGCCCTACTACCAACTAGTAAAATATTGTGAATCTAAAAGAGTTAATTTTTAGAACATAAATTCAATTAAAAACCCCCTCATTTTCAATGAATGCATTATTATAATATATTGATTGGCATGAATATGAGTTTACTGATAGGATGTCTAACCCTTTTAAATTACATTTAAAGGATAGCAGAAAATTATCAAATTTGGAAAATAATGTCTATGATTGTATGCAAAATATAGATTTGGTCGATGTTTAGCAATATCATGGTATTATAAGGTCTATAATAAGAGTATTAATTTTTACAGCAATAAAATTTAATATATAACCCTGCAATAAATTTATCCTACCCCTAGCCTACCTCCCTGTTCCTACCCTCCCCCCCCCATTCATGTAGACGCTGGTATGACCTATATTTACAGGGCAATTAAAACGCCTAAAACAAATTGACTATGCGTTTAGTAAATTGAAAAAATTGAAAATTATAATAATCTTTATATGACAATTATTAACAAAATGCTACTTTTGTTTGAAGCAATGTATATGGGGTACCTTTTTACTAATTTTTTTTGATCAAGATATGTAACTTCTCCATTTCAAACAAACATGACATTTGCATCATCATAGGTCTGGCTTATTAATATTATATGAATTATTTTTAAATTTAAAATTTAACTTGGAGTTCCGCATAAGTACTTTCTTAATCTATCATTTCTATTAAATTCTCTTGAATCTTTCCACCAAAAAAAATATACCGAATAGTTAAACTCAAATTTTTGCAATCTACTACACCTTTGTCTAATCGGCGTTATGAAAAAATGGGCATTTACAATAATTTATTGAGATAACCATTTCCGCCAAATTTGAGGCGATGTGTTTTGGGCAATTTTTAATATTGTTTTTATAATTTATCATCTTTTTGCCAAAAAATTTCTTTCAGACAATTTTCTCAAAATATATAATTTTTATAAAAAATATATATTAACTATTTCAGATAACCTATATTTTTAGGATTCAGAAGATATTTTATATTGAATTTATTTAGTTTGAAAGAAAGGTGTCCCAACAATCTCTGGTCTCCCCAACAAATTAATAATTTTTTAAATAGTAATTAAAAATTAGAGATCTGCGATGCCCAGCCCGATCCATGGACCGGGTAAAGTCTGAATTTTTTTACTTAAGCCGGGCAAAAAATTAAAGGACAGGCAAAAAGTAGATATGCCTGGCGTGTTTAAAAAGAATAAAAATAAAATTATTTTAAAGCTTAATAATTTTGTTAAAATATATTTTATTGATTAAATTACCATGACTTTTTATGTTTTATTGCTTTAATAAAAAATTCATAAAACCGACACTCTCACCATTATTGGGTTTTCCCCATAAGATATATTCCTGGATTTTAAAAACCCGGACTGGGCCGAGTAGCCATAATAAAAATTGGAATCAGACAGAGTCGGGCAAAACAAAATTTTAACTGGGCCAGACCGAAAAATTTTACCATTTGCAAACCTTAAAAATATAATAGGCCAAAGTTCGAGGAAGTAACTAAAAATATTATGTAAAATTTATGGTAAAAAAAGAAAAGGCCCATAACCTCTTTCCCCTTACCAAAATCGGTTATTGTTAGTTACTACCAAAGGCAGTGTTGAACTAATCGGTGTTTTATTTATTTTTTGTTCGGATCGGGAAAGCTTCTGTGGCATAATCGATTGGTGCGTGGATCGCCAATCCGATAGTTATGGGTTCGAATTCAGCAAGGACCATGTTTTTTTTCTGAATCCAAATTCGTGGTTCCGTCCTGGTGGGGGAGGGGCTGATTTATAGTAGATCGGAGGCAACCGGGTGATTCAATCACATAATATATATTTTTTTAAATGGATTTTATTGCATTTAAAAAAATAATCCTGGATACAACCTTAAAAAATATTTCAAATGCATAATAATTTAAAACATAATAATGATAAAACCTAATATAAAACTAATACTTTTACTATTTTTTTTAAATAATTTTTTTTATACATGTGTGTGCTTGCTTGCCACTGCCATTATAACATATGGAATGTGTATTAGTTATTTAAGTATAAACTTCAAAAAATTGAAATAAAATATATTTCAAAATAAAATATATTTCAAAATAAAATATGTTTCAAAATAAAATATATTTCAAAATAAAATATATTTCAAAATAAAATATATTTCAAAATAAAATATCAGGGAAAAACTAAACGATTCAAGAATATTTAAGAGTCAAAATTTTTCCCAGTATATAATAAAAAAGAAATAATATAAACTCAAGTAAAACTAAAGTCCAAATCTGATTATATTTTTTTTACTTTTTACGTTTACTAAGTAACACGGGTCAATATATTTATTTATAATGCAACTTTCCTTTGTAAATAAATATCCTTATTATCTACTCCTTATTAGAAAAGAAAAAGACCTCACACTCACAGAATGAATGAACAATCATTACTATTCCCAAGTATCCTTAAATTCACAAACAATATAATACAATCATTTTTCTAAACAACAAAATTTTTTTTTAAAAAACAGATCTTTTTGTTCTATCAAATTTTTTTTTAAATTTTAGATTTGATAATCTCTAGCTCAAGATGACTTGGTGAGGTGGCAGATTTTACTCACTACTTTGTTAAGTCCAAGGATAGTTGAAATATACCATTGCGCATGCCATTTCATGTAATTAAACCGAGGCCAGATCATATCATATCTTAAAAACTCAATTGTAATTTATAATAAAATTTATTTACAGGAGATAACGAATTTATTCTAAGAGAACATTTACCAAAAAAAGATAATAATTTAAATTTATAGAGTCTGAATACTCATAATTGTGTTTACTATTATATAACTAATTAATGCACTATATATATTATTTTATTTATCTAGTTTCATTTTTTAGAGAGATCAAGGCATTTATAACTTTTTTTCGACTTTATAAATAAGTTCGGGGAAAAATGGGTTTGCAATGTGTGATAGTTGGGTTGAACAAAAATACCCTAATTATAATAAATTTTTGAAATGCTTAATGCCAAACATCATTCGGATCTTAAAACAAATATTTAGAGTTTATACTGCAGTGTTGTGGGGGTTTGTTAGAAATTTTCCATATTATTATTCAATTTATTTGCAAATAAAATAATTTAATATGCAAAAATTGCTAAAATAACAAAGTTGAACTGCTATTTAAAAAAAAGGATTAGAAATTTTTTTTTATAAAAATAACATAAATACAGACTCAAGTTATTAAAAATATCGAAAACATTTTATCAAAAAGAATATACATTAGATGCAAGATATTTTTTTAAGAAAAAATTTATCTATTTCTTCCACACAATAAACTATAAAGTCAATGATAAACTTTTTAACCCGTGGTTCATAGAAAATTAATATGATGCTTTCCCACATAACTACAACAAAGGAATTATAAGTGAACCAACAATTAGACTGGGAATGGAGAGCTTATAAATCAACTAACAGGAATACATAGAGAAATACTAATAAGCACATGATATTTTGAGGCTCATACTAAAATATTAAAACGATAGGTCATTTATATAAACATAATTAAAAACCAAAATAGATTTTATTAAAGAATTTTTTATAAAAATACGATCAACAGATCGAAATCCCCTCAAAAATTACTTTTTTAAAACCCAGAAAATGCAATCCAAAATGGTAGAATGCAATATAAATATCTTGTATTCCACCCTATAAATAATATGATCATTAGAAATTAAATTGATATCTAATTTGCATACATGGTGTATCAAAATATAAGAGTAATGAATATTCATTTTAAAATATATAAATTGGGGAGAAATAAAAATAATGGAAGAATAAACGGAAAAAAAAATAATTTTTTTAAAGTGAATATTAAATTTTTTAGCAAATATATCAAAAAAAAAGTATTTGTATCTGTTTCTTTTATCACGGATATGAAAATTAAATCAGACTCTTTTGAAAATAAAGTATCTTCATACAGATATAAGTTATCTTCTTAAAAATGTCAAAAAGATTTCAATGTAGTACAAGATTCTTACAAATATTCGCG